TAAACTACCTATATAAAATAAGTAATAGAATCATATATAACAAAAATCTCTCTAATAAACAATTTTATAGGAAAATCTCCACATAATTATCGCTTTTTCTATAAAATATATAAAATAAATCCACGATTTTCCAAATTTTCGATAATATATTGTGAATTATGTAGATCAGCAATTATGATTCCATTAAAATTTCATTCCTATCTTTGTTATATATGATTCCATTCCTTATTTTATATAGGTAGTTTATTTCAATTAATTAAATCATATTTTTGTTATTATGTAGTTACTCATTTCATTTTGTAATAAAGAATTTTTTATTGTCAAATTGAAGCATTTGATGTGGGGATATCAAGATCACAAAGCCATATACTTTAGAATTTGTAAAAAAATTTTTTTATCCTTAAAAACGTATTAATAATTCAGTTAAATGAAACTTTTAAAGACCCTGTAAGAGGTTCCGGGAAAATTCCAACTAAATCTTATTCTGACAAGAGTAAACAGACTTACAATTTAAGAGGAGTAACGACCCATTTGAACGCTTAAAACCTTACAAAAATCGACCTTGAATTCGAAATTTGGTCATTTTTTCACATTAATCGGGCAGTATTTCTTAAGGCGTATATCGTAAAACTAAATGAATTATTGCATCGTGTTCAGCGATCAAAAAAACATACAGTACCACATTTAAAATCCAGATTAAGTCATTTTTGCATCAAATCAAACGTGTATTAAGGAAAATCAAAACTTTGATTTAAAAATTGTTTACTGGCGATCTCTAAATCTTAACATTTTTTAATAAAAATTCAGGGTGTTTTTTTTGGCATAAAATGGAAATGGAAGCTTTTGAGCTGAGACCGATTAAAAAAAAATATTTTTTTTTTAGGTCAGTCTAATATATATATAAAATTAAATCATTTCCAGGTACGAATTGCCAGACAAACGGTACATTTTGAATTGGAATCTTTACATACTAGGCCAGAACAAGAGCCTATATTGATGGACATGATTCATTCTGTGAGTTCAAAAGAATCGTTCTAGGTATATCCTAGCAAAATTACAAGTGTATTTTCTTATTGTAAAGAAAAAAGGAAATAATTATATATGGATCTGTTATTGGTAGGCTGCGTATAGACAGAACACATTAGGTTTGCCCAAGATTTGTCCAGAAAAGAATATCGAAAAAATTGATAGGAAAATTTTACATACATATCTCAAGCATCATTATGTACCGAGTAGAATGGTAGTTGCTGGAGTTGGTGTTGAACATGATGACCTGGTCCACGCCGTTACTAAGTAATAGTTACTAAGTAATACTAAGTAATAAATTTTCTATAGATGGCACAAGTAATTTATAAATGAATTTATGAGAATATTTAATAAATTTATAAATAATTTTTTTTAATTTAATTTTATAAATTTTTCAATATAAACTAAACATATTCATAGTATCATTTTTATGTAATACATTAGATTATTTTAATATACGATATATTAATATATTACAAAAGTTTTTTAAACTTTTTATTTATATAGTAATCTTTGTATAGATATTTTGTAGATCAAAAACCTATCTGGGAGGAACAATCTGATCTTATTCTGCCAAATAATGCAAATACTGTCGATATGTCCATTGCACAATATACTGGAGGATATGTTTTGGTATGATCATCTATATAAAGTGCATATAAAAATTATTTTACTTTTACGAGAAAGCTAAGGGAGATGAAGAATTTGTTTATATGTATTTAATAGGAGGAATGCAATGTGCCAATTTACGCAGGACCCAGTGGCTTGCCCGAATTATCACATGTTGTAATAGGTTTAGAAGGTTGTTCTCATCAAGATTCAGAGTTTGTTGCTATGTGTGTATTAAACATGATGATGGGAGGTGGTGGCAGTTTTAGCGCTGGCGGTCCTGGAAAAGGCATGTACACGCGTTTGTACACCAATGTGTTGAATAAGTAAGATATATTTATGCTTTATTGAGATATAAAGAAAGGGCAGTGGTTTGTAATATAAAATAATTATTCGATATCTCTTTATACCTTTCTCTATTAACTTTGTAATAATTAAAATATTCAAAAAAATGAATAAATTCGTAGTTCATAAACTTCGTATCAATAACAGATATACAAGTAATTATTGTATACCTGCTCTGAGACTTTTAATTGAGAACATTACATCAAGAAAGTTTTATTACAGGTATCATTGGTTGTACAGTGCAACCGCATACAACCATGCTTATGCAGATACTGGTCTATTTTGTATTCACGCCTCATGCACACCGTCTCATGTGAAGGATATGGTGGAAGTAATTGTGCATGAGATGGTCACCATGACAAATGGAATCTCGGATAGTGAATTAGCGGTATGGTATTGCCTTACATTTCCGAATCAGTTATTGATATCAATCATGTACATGAAAAGAATTCTTTTTTATTCTTTTATCTTTCGTACAGAGAGCGAAGAAACAGTTGCAGTCGATGCTACTTATGAATCTGGAACAACGGCCTGTTGTATTTGAGGATATTGGAAGACAGGTCCTAGCGACTGGCTCCAGAAAACGGCCAGAATATTTTATACAAGCCATTGGTAAGTGTTGCAAAGCTCTTTGTAATTTAATGAAATTCCGGCTTTTCAATAACACTCACAAAAAAAATGCTTACAGATAAAATATCTAAGGATGACATCAACCGAGTAGCGCGACGTTTATTGAAATCGCCACCTTGTTTAGCGGCACGCGGCGAAGTGAAGGCTATACCTTCCATGGCGGATATTCAAAACGGTTTGCTTGACGCGCAAGGTCGGTTACCCGGTTCTCGTAGTAGATTATCACTTTTTCGTTAAAATCATGCATAAAATATTTCAACAGTTTTCTCATCCTAAATAAATGTCACTTATTCGCAGTTATACATTAATAAAACACCAAACGTTCGATTTCATATCGAACTGAACCTTGAAAATACGAGATTTATTCATTATATTTTTATTATTAAACAAAATTTCGAAATAGCCGAATTTTTCATACATTTTTATGAGGATATTATAAAAAAATGTAATATTAGAAAAAATAATGTTGACGTCCAGAATTTAAAATAATATATACATAATATGCAAAATGTTCCTTATATATATTATCTAGATTTTGTATATATGGTATATGATAAAATTAATAAATTAGAAATATACACGAAAATAATTCGTTCATCGTTCAATAGCACGGGAGAAAGTAAAAGTTATACTGTTAACTAGAAGCGGAATGCAAGATAAACAAAACTGATTTCGCGCGAATCTTACGCCATGTTCAATAATGGATCTTGTGACGAAATCAGATGCGTGTAAAAATGATTTTATATGTATATATATATAACAAAATTAAATCATTCACTTCACACTTATTAATCATAAGTGAGAAACAGCGAGAAATAACACCTAAAAGTTTGTTGTGTGCCATTTTTAAATAAAGAGGATTTGGATAAAATTAATAAATAGGATCACTTTAGAAAACTTATAAAAATGGATGGAAACTATCCTTTTCCCCCCTGAAAGTTAGTAAATAGTCGTAAAAAACATGTAAAGTGAAGTTTATTCAGGTAAGAAAACTCACGATTTGACAACTGTTGAAAGAAATGGAATATTTTTACGTATAAAATTCGATAATAATGATAGTTTCCATCCATTTTTACGACTTTGATAAATACGAGACAAGACACATTTTCACAATTAAGCGTAATAACAAAATAACACGCAACACAAAATTCGTTGTCAATACTTTTCACGATAAGTCCGTTATTTTCTTCAAATCGTGTATTTTTTTCACATTCGACTGTAATTGATAAATTTTTACAGCTAACGATATCGGCATACAACATATT